CCACGCCCACGCTCCTCAGAGGTCCCATCGTCGATTGTGCTTGAGCTGCAGCCGGCGCAGCTGAGTCTCCAGGGCGGCGCGCGTCTCGTACAGGCTCTTCTGGTGCAGCAGCCGTCGCCTGAATGCGTCGCGTTGCAGTTGAGTTAGCTGCTGGCGCAGCAAGAGATGATTCGATTGCAGCTGTTGCAGCTGGGCGAGCACATCAACATTGTTCTGGCAGAGGTCCACGGCCGTTGAGTGGGTCTGCATTGGTCGTCAGCGGCTGTCGAAGACACGAGTGGCTTAGCATAATTGATGCAGCCGTGAAGGCGGATTTGATGGCCAAAGTTGTGGCTTAAAGGCTGCCGGAAGTTAAGCCTAATCACTCGGCAAAAGTTTTTGTCTTGCAAATTACGTATACGCAATGAGTGGCGAGCAACGTTTGGCAGCCCGAATGTTGAATGTTTTTGCTTCCGTTCGCTTTTTCTAGCTGATTGACTTAAAAATTGAAAATTTGCCAACATTTGGGCAAGTTTTTAGCTGCTGCTGCTGCTGCTGCTACTGCTGCTCCTGCTACTCCTGCTGTTGCCTTATGTCTTGGTCGGTTTGCTGAGCAATATTCACTGATGCGTTCGTTGAATTTGCGTAGCCCCCAACTGCCGTCCCTCAGCCCCTCCGCCTCGTCATCCTCTTAAGGTGGCGCAGACAAAATTGCTTTAGTGCTTCAAGCGTCAGCCAAGCAGAAAAATGTCTGCTCGACAATTTGGCCGCTATTTTCCCGTTTCTGGCTATAATCCCGTTGCTGCTCTTCGATTTTCAGCTATCGATTGATTGCGCATTAATTTTCTATTTAGCTTCTCTTACAGCAAAATCCCAATGCACACACACATACATATGCATATGCTCTATGCTCGCAAGGACGAATCCATCGCCTTCGCTTTGTGGACATACAATGGAAGGCCGAACTGAGCTGGCCTGAGCTGAGCTGAGCAAAGATTACAGTTATGCAAGGCAACGCCAATGATTGATTTTGATTGATTCAAGTCGTTAAGGCTGCACAGCCTTTGTTGCATAGCAGCTGCTTATAACTTTTATTAAACGTGTTCCACTTGCCTTTGACTGAAAATTTACACACTAACCCAAAAGCGAGCGACTAAGTAAACGGCCTAATACTGCGATGCCCCACTTTGTTGCTCTGCCCGAAAGCCACAATGGCAAAAACTGTGGCACAGCCATTCAAAGCCCCAGCCAAGCCAGCCCAGACCAAAACAATTCCAGCCAAAACCGAGGCAGCTGCATGTTCTGCCTGTGGGCGCCTTCATTGCGTATACGTAATATTCGAGGAACAGGCGCATGGCGCATGTAAATGCGCCGGCTGTGGCTTGAATATGTTCAACTGTTCGACATGCACTGCAGCTGCTCGACTGCTCAGAGCGAGATGGATAGCTGGGAGGGCGGACTGGATGGAGTGTGTAGGGAGGGGCAGGCAGCTATTAGACTTGGCCCACACAGCTAGCCAGGCGTTCATTAGCTGCAGCCTAAACGGTTTTCACACGCTGCACTCAATTTATGTAGGCTTGTTTACTTACACACACACACACACGCACACACACGCAGAGCTTAAGATGGCATTTAAGCAGCAGAGCATTAGTGCGCATTCTGAATTGCAATTGTGGAAAGTCAAGCCACAGTGTATTTCCATTTGCAACTAAAAACAACAACAACAACAGCAGGAGCAGCAGCAGCAGCAGCAGCAGCTGCCTGATGAATGCAATCAGCGTTAACAAACTAATAAGAACGATGATGATTGCGCATCAGGGATAATGACAGCTGAGAGAGACACGCACACGCAGCTGTCCGAGTGTGTGTGTGTGTATATTGATGGCCTTAATATGCAAATGGGCATTGAATGCAGCTTACCTTTCTTGGCTTGAATGCGGTCGTTAAATTGTAACGGAACTTGACGCTGGCTCGCGAGTCCTGCAATGAGACTTTAAAATGAACTGCGCGGCTCACTCCAAATCCTGATGCTGCCTAATTGAAAATCTATGCCACTAAACTGTAAGCCTGCTCTGTCTGTCGGACTGTCTGCCTCGCTCGCCTCTCTCTATCTCTCCCTTTCGCTCACACACACGCTTCGATTCGGTGTCTGCGTTGCCAACTTAATTATTTCAACGGCACGTCGCCGTCGAATGGCGCTTAAGCCAAAACTCACGACAGCTGCAAGAAGAGTAAATAAAGAATTTAAAAATAAAAAAGAGAAAGAGAAAACGAAATAAAGGAGAAGTAGTGGCAGCAGCGGCAAGTGCAAAGCACTGGCAAGTGGAATAAACAAAAGTTTGCTGCATGCAACGACAGCGACAGCGGCAGCTGCTGCTATTGAAAATCTGCGCTGAAAGATAAAGTTGCCAGGCAAACGGATTTAACTGCAACGACGGGCACTTGCGGCGACCCGGCGGGGGAGGCAGGCTGAGGGTCTTGGGGTCAGATGAGTTACAATAAGGATGCAGCCGGAAGACGGAGTGTGTGGGCGTAGGACTGTCTCTGTGTGTGCCTCTATGTCTATGTCTGTGTGTGTGTGTGTGTGTGTGTGTGACCCCATTCAAGCAGGCACGCCCACGCATCCTGCTGTAGCTAAAGTTGCCAACCTCTCACTCTCTCACTCTCTCCCTCTCTCCCTCTCTCCGTCTCTACGCTTCGCAGTGCATCCAGCGGCACAATATTCACGGACATGATTCATTACCACAATTTCGCTGGAATAACTCAGGGAAATGCCTCCAACAAGCTCAAATATTGACCGAAAATATGATGGCAGTTAACCCACGCCAGTCTCAGGTAAGAAATGGCCAACTTTAAAGTTGGCTAATATACTGTTGGCTCATATCACTTGGGGCGTTTTACGGCCGCACGCGTTTCGCGGAACACAAAGACGGACTAAACCGCGTCTGCTCTCCCTTCGAATGACTTTGGCAACTTTGGCAGGCCGAAAGTAATTAATTTTTGCCAAGTTACGTTCCAAAAATAACGAAATAAAAATTCATTTATATAACACGAGTAAAGGGGAAAATAAACCGCACTAACGGCACAATTAACGCCTGCAACATTAATTGCGTTTTAATGTGCTGCTTGGCTGCTTGGCGCAACTCGCATTTGTAGTTGAGGGTGTTAGCTGGTGCAGGTGCTGCCCTAGGTTGTGTGTGTGTGCGTGTGTGTGTGTGTGTGTGTAAGTTGGCTACAACGTGACATGTCAACCGCAGGCGGCGGCGGCTCAAAAGCGTAACAAGAATTTTGCCGCGCCTGAGCAACATGACAAGCGGCACACACACACAGCCCCACACACACACACACACACAGGTAAGAGCCTGTCTGAGTGCTTGAGTGCCAGCCTCAAAAGCAGCTTAACAAACATGCACACAGACAGTGCACACACACACATACACACACACACGTATGCACACTCAGCTCACAATGAGGGCGAACGGCACGAGGTGCGACCACAGGGCCAGGCCAACTATTTACATGTCGCCCTATTATGTCCGGATGCGGACACGACGAGCCCACAATCCAAGCGGCACCCGCCACCCCCCGCAGTCTCCTGGCCGAGCCCGAGCCCGAGCCCGAGCCGGAGCCGGGCCTGAGCCCGGCACACAAAACCCTATTGCCGTGTGTCTTTTGTGCTGCGTCTCTCTAAGTGACGTGATTTAAATTTTTATGCCCTTTGAAATTTTCAACGTTCTGCTCATCACAGTTGCTGCTCGCTGCTGGCTGTTGTTGATGACGTCAGCGTGCAGTGCTTCCGGCACACAAATCACGTAATCTGCCCTTTGTGGGTCAAGCAGCGTGCCCACATATCTATAAACTCAAAAAGCTCAAGAGCATAAACAGTAACTCCTGAGCATCTGCAGCAGCTGCAGTTGAAGCATAGCCAGAGAGAGAGAGAGAGAGAGAAAGGTAGAGAGAGAGAGAGACAGACAGACAGCTACATGTATTACATGCTCAACTCTCAACTTATCCGGACAACCCTCTAGAGACAAAAAAAAAACATACAACTCGTCAGAGTCAGGTAAATGTCAAGTGTTTGTCCTCGAAACTTAACAAAAGCTAGAATGGGTTGGATTATGATGTTGCAACGATTACAGAGAGGACTAACTGACTGACGGTCAGACTGACGGACTGATTGACTGACTGATTGGCTGATTGAATGTGTACAATGCATTTGCTTTAACTGACTGACTGACTGACTGATTAGCTGATTGAATGACTGACTTTAGACAAGGCAGTTGCCAGGCAGTGCGTTTAGAAAGGTAAGTTTAGTAAAATGATGACTGATTGATTGACAGATTGGCAGACTAATTGATGGAACCATAGTCAGAGTGCGGCCTTATCATTGTTAAGCTGATGGAGTTGTTAGAATTATTAGATTAATAGAGAGAGAGAGGATGACTCAATGCGGAAATGGAGAGACTAAAGATATAAATGATGATTGATTCCTCACTTGTTGCCTTGATTGATCATCATCATGTTATTGGCATTTAATGTGCTATGAATAACTCGAAATACACTGTGAATATGAACAAATGGAGCTGAAGCTATGAGAAGGCTATGCTCGCCCTCTCTCTCTCTCTCTCTCTCTCTCTCTCTCTCTCACACCAACGGAGTCTGTGTATGAATTGATGAAAAGCAAAGAACAGTACAAAATTGAGCATAAAGCACTTGTGTGGAAGACCTCAAGCTGCTTATACATATACATAGTTGACTCGTTTTGCATTAAACAGGATTTGTTCCATATGCTGTCAACATGTTTATAGCCCAATAGACAGAACAGTAAGAGCTAAGAGTTATATAGATTATTCATTAACTGATTGATGTATTACCATACGAGCATTGACTGCCCCATAGTGAATCATTCAATTCAATTGCCTATGACCCTATACAACTTCAGAGTGTTTATGCGTTTAATGCTTAACTGATTGACATTTTAATTGACTTTAATTTAATTCAACTTTTGCAGCAGTTGCATGTTGTCAGTGAGTGGAAAGTTATTGGACAAGTTGGCCAACTCCTGCCAGAGAGTTTCGCAAATTCGTTAAATGGAATATGCCTGAACTGAGCTGAGCTCTGAGTTCTTTTCAGTGCCCTGGTATTTGTTTTGCAAGTGTGAGAAGTTTCGGCAACTGCCAAGCGCAGACTTCCGCCGGAAACTCACACGACTGCTGCAAGACGAGCCACGTCATGATCGTGATCAATTTCATTAAGTCAATTTCCTTATGCATATGTCAATAAATAGTTTTTATTTGTGTGCAGTTTTCATGCCATCAGCATTCATCTGGCTCATCAACGAGTCGAGATTTTTTAATTGCTTAATTTCCTTTTGATATATAAATGCATTTGCTTCTCGCTGACCCAAAAAGGAGGAAAATCGGAATGTGAAACCGAAGCAGAAATGGAAATTATTATGTCTCATTTGGGAGCAACTGATAGCAAAGGCTCTGCTGCTCTTTCGCCTCTGTCCGCTTACAGTAATGAGGATGCCGTTCATAAGCCCATAAATAAGTGCAGGAGAATGTGGGCAACAGGGAGAGTGGGGGGAATGGGAGTGGGACTGGGAGTGGGGAATGGGTCTTATCGCTAGTAAGTGGACATCATTAACCTGGCGGCAAACACTGTAATTATGTTAACTGCTAATTGTGCGGGCAGCCGATGGGGGCGTTGCAGGCAGGGGCGTGTCAGCCATGCATGCCTCAAAAACAACAACAACAACAACAACAGCATGCGGCAGATAAGGTCGATTGGTCAAAGAGCTGGAACAATAAAAACATTTAAAGGCAACACACAGCAGGAGAAGGAGCAGGAGCAGGAGGAGTCTGCTCGTATTGGCAATTTAAGCTGCCGAAAAATGAAAAGTTTCATTCTGTTTGCCTTTTTTTACCCCGTGAATTATTCCTTTCTTTTCTCTTTTCAAGTTTGTGCCGGCAATTTAAGTGAATTTTGAAAAAAATGCGAATTTTCAACATTAGCGCAGTCGGCCAAAAATTCGTTAGCCATGGCTAACGCCTTTTAATTGTTTACTTGTTGCTTTTGCTTGCCGTTAAATTTGATTTTCCCGAATTTTGCCATTAACACATTGCTGCGAGGCCTTTGAGCTGTCACTGACAGACAGACAGACAGACAGACAGACGGCACACTCGCCAGCAAAGTCACAGTTTGAAGGACAGTGTTCGCACTCTGCGCCTCTCAGAGTTCACGGAGCTCCGGTGGGGGAGTGGGCCTGCGGCCAGAAACATAATTTATTTATTGTGTGATTTACGGCCGCAACTGTGTTGGCCAGTGTAATGTTTATTTGCATGTTGCGATTGCTTTCGGCCCAATATATCATTGGGGCCAACTGGAAAAACTGACAACTACAAATTCGGGCGCTGTTTATGCGGCCAGGACATGGGCGTGGCCCATAGGCAAACACACCCAGCCATGTGTGGCGCATGCCAATTGTCATTGAGCCCCCGCCAAGTGCACGCCCATTAATAATACACAATTCTCTCATGTTGTTTACAATTCATTTATGCTAATAGAATTTGCTTTTATTTTTATTTTTTGCTGCCCTCAGCTCAGCAGGCAAAAGCACAAAAAATCCAAAAACAATGAAAAAACTTGCCGCAGCATAAATATGCCGAAATCAAAACTAGCGCAATTTTCATATAATTAATTGCAATCGAATCGATATCCAATTTGTTTGTTTAATTTTTTTGTTTCATGTCGCATGCATATATGTTATGTATGTATATGTGCATGTATGCATGTATATTATATAAATATTTCTTCTATGCACATATGCATTGCACATTGGCCTTAAATCATTCGGCCTTTAAGTCATTTAAGCCAATTGCAATCGGCCATAGAGTACACATTGCAAATTGTCGCTCTGTGTGCACTGCGCCAAGGCCTAATTAATTAGTTTTGAGCAGCGGTTTTGTGTGCTCATTATGAATAGAAATGCTCTGTGTAAATTACCAAAAAAAAAAAAAAAGATGCAGAGCGACAACTGCGGGCTGCGCTAATTGAGCGGC